GGAAAACTCCCGTTTCTCTCTCTTCATGAAATTCCCAACACAGAACTGGCTTTCGACTTGCCGGCAACCTGGGCACCTGCGGGAAGAGCCCTGAAGAAGCGTGACAAGGGGATGCACAGCAACACACTCCACGACTAAGGGGCATTTCATACACAGTAACGTCGCCCGTACGTGATCGACCTCTGAGACTCTTCTTTCAGGCATAAAGCACAATCGCTCTTTTGCTGAAGTCCTATAATTTGTTGCACATAATTTACATATTTGAGGCTGTATCACTCCCTTACATGAACACAAAACATATGTATGCCATTTTATACATACATACATTTTGTAACATGTCTCTAAGTCATTGTTGAGGCCCCAAAATTGTTTTAGAGGATCTGTTGGTAACACTGCACGAATTTAGGGCTGGGGTTTTTGTTTGTTTGTTTGATGGAAAGATCTTTATCAGCCAGTGAAGGTAATCATTCAGCTGCCAAGAAGTTGTTTAAATCTAAATGGATACAAGTAACCTCCTGTATGCATTCAGTGATGAGCACAGTGTCAGCTCTTGAATGATCAGCCTTCTCCTAAACCCATTGGTAGAGATACAGGATAGGGTCAGGAGCTCTAAGCACTGGGATAAGAAAAGGTTTCAAAAGTCGAAGGAAAAACAACAAAAACCAGAAGTTTCATAGCGTAAAGACAGGGCTGGGTGTAAAGAAGCACAGTAACTGATTAAAGACATCTAATCTGCTCTGGGATCTCCTTTTGATTATATCAAACCTCAAATCAGCAAGACTTTGGGGGGAGGAAACCTGGCCTCACTCTTTTTGTCCCACTTTGCCCAGATTTCTTTACTGTTGTGCTCTACTTCTGTGTCACAGACAATAAAAGCTTTGTCAGAGGAAAAAAAGATCACATTTTCCACAGCCAGTACCAACATACATTTAAACTGACACTAACAACTACTATTGATGGATTAATGCTAAATCCCAGAAAGATGTTCATGTCAAAATTGTGGAAGCCTTGCACACTATGAAACTGACCATTAAAAAAAAAAAAAAAAAAAAAGGCAACTAATATAATGTCATGGTTTTTGTTGAAGATTGCATTTAGAAAACAGAATTCTTTAGAACAAAATCCATTCAAGTTTTGTTGGAAGTACATCCATTTGTTTTTCTGTTGGTATTTTTTTCCTGAGGTTTCAAGCCATAAAGTTTTGTACCCCACTCTATGCTATAGGAATCTGTGAAACTTAATTACATTTACTGTTACAAAAAAGGGTTTATGAACTTTTGCCTTTGGGCAAAAATGTTTATTTCATTGCCTTTGTTATTCATTCTTTTCAACTCTAGTGCCTTTGAACTTTTCAGCTGCACAGAGTTATCACCGTTGCACAGGAACCAGGAACTGTACTCCCGAGATGCAAACCACAAGTTGAAGAAAACGAAGGAGGTAAAGATATACGAGTCGTTATTTTGGCCACCCTTTGTGCCATTAAAATCTCATTTTCTGCCTATTAGAATGCCCTCTCCCTGCTTAGGCAGTGGTGATAGTCAGTGATTAGTGTGTAATTGAGTATAATTGTCTTTTCACTTTTCATTTGTGTCATTCTGAGCTTCTCTCTGTTTTTCTAACCACTGAGAGGAAAAAAGGGTAGAAAGAAGATAAAGCTGTTAAAACTCTCACTTTCAGCCCTGAAGAGATTCCTGATTGTAATTATAGATTGCATCCTCTTTGTGACTTCTCAGAATTTAGTGGACATCTCTTTCCAAGCACCTGGGCAAAGCTCTCGCTAATAAAATAAACTACCATCCGTTCAAGCTTTAACTAATAATGTCAGCCTCAGACAGATGCTGTGTGTAGGAAAATTGAACCAACCTTTTGACACTCAATTATCAAGGCAATTTATTAACATGGTTTCCTAAAAAGAGCTCATGCAAATTAGAAAAACAATTATGGTATTCATGCATCTATATATTGCCAAAGAGCAGTAATACTCCTCATTTATGTATTTATAACTCGATTACGGCTCATCTCAACATGTACTGCTCAGCCCTTGGAACTCTCCTCATAGAACTTGTCTGTAATTTTCCTGAACCATTCGGGAAAACCTTGGTGAGGTTATCTTAAAGAGACAGTTTATTTACAGAAAAACTACATTATCTACTTTCTGTAGCCAGCCATGGATCTTTGGGAAAATAACAGTACATTACAAATGCTTGACAACTGAATGTAAACACAAAGCCTGTATGATTATATTATAAATCACTTGAAATTAAATATAAGCTATGACTCTTGATTCAGCCAGTAGAAGGAAAAAAATAAAAAAAGAAGGAAACTAGCAAACTGAAATCATGTGGCTTGTATAAAGAATACATTATGGTTTAAATTTGGCAATTCATTATACTGTGGCCTGAGGGAATAGACTCTTTGGTTCTGGTATACAGCAAATCCTCTGTCTGAAAACACAGGACTGACCTGAGGTGAAAGGCCATTGCCAATGGCAGGGTTCATGGGATTTGAGGGCCCGGATGGAGGCACAAAGCTGTCTGTATAGCTGGAAAATCCATGCCTGGTGCTGGGTAGGCAATAGGCAGAGCTGCTCTCTGGATTTGAAGGGAGGCTGCTTTGGTGTACAGTGCTTGGAGGGAGAGGCTGAGGTCTATGGACGGTACTGCTTGGATCAGACACAGCTAGAAGCAAAAGAAACACATTGATACGTTTTCCTCATTTTTTCTGGCATAATAACTTCACTATGTGAAGCTCAACTTGACAGAATTGCATCAGGGCCTGCATGTAAATACTTAAATAGAAAGGTAAGTCTTCAATATTGCTAGATATTTAACCGGCCAGTTAAAGTACATAAAAATTCTTAAAAGACTGTAAAAGTTACAAGAGACACACGCAGTTTTCAGGCAATCCTTAGTGGGTACATATTTATATAACTATAGCAAAATTTAAAATAAAATTTATATTTTTATATATATATATATCATATAGAAGATATAATATACTATCTATCTATGTCTCTCTCTCTCTATATATATATAAAAGGAAAAGCTTTATTTGCTTAAAAGACTGGTGAAAGGCTTTCCCCTCCTGGTCACAGCACAGAAATTCTGCTGTGATCTGTAGTAAACCTAGCAATGGATGAGAGAAGCCTGGGGCTTTGCAAAATCTCCTTAATTAGAATGTGGCCTGGCCAAAACATCCGTCAACAGTTAGGATCCAAATCCCAAGGAGGAAGCAAGGAGAACACAGTAAGTTGTCTTACAAAAACTCACCTGTAAGGTTTTTCTTCAACAGAAAAATTTAGCGTAGCCTAAATCTGAAGCTCTGTTCCCCCCCTCCCCAAATCTGTCAAAGTTCACAGAAATTCTGAGAAGGTTAATACAAATTTTTGCCATACTGAGACTTACTACTATCTGATGTGAAGCAAGATGGTCTGAATAGCTGGACTTTTTCACCATCAGATAAATATTCTGAGTACTCACAGAAGCTTCCAGTGCACCATCATCAAAAGCAACAAAGAAGACAGAATGCAACTGCTGTCTCCTTCCCCACCATGCCAGGGACTCTCAGCAGAGAAGGCCAAGGCAGCAGAAAGGTAGGAAAACGTGTACGTTGCTTTACCAAACACAGCACCTCTGTTGCGCTTGAGGCTGCTGTTTCTCTAGCTAGCACCCGTCACACGCAACCAGCCCTTCCTTGCAGCAAAACAAATCTGAGTTCTTACATGCTTAAAATAAGTAGGCTTACAAGATCCTCACTGACTCAGACCATAAATTAGTGAACACCTCTTTTTCTACATTGGAGAAGAAAATGCTCCTACAATGGATCAACACAGGAAACCCCCAATAACACTATTTTAACCAAGTACCTGTTGGCTACTGTACCTTGCGGTATGGAGGTGGGTTGATAGGAGGGCTCAGAGAGCTGGTACGTTGGCAAAGTTGGCATGGCACTGGGTGGAAATCCTCCTGGGATCAGATGGTTGAAAGCCATCAGTTGGTTGGCTCCTGCCTGTTTCCTCCATCTAGCGCGACGGTTACTAAACCAGACCTACAAATGTTTTAATTAGGGACATTTGATTTTTGTACATTTAATGTTGGTGCATCAGAAATAATGGCATCATATTTCAGAGGGATTCAGTGTCTGAAAAGAGAGATACAGAAGATGCACGCTGGGCTCAGAGCTCATAGACAAGAAAGGAGCCCTTGGCACACACTTCCATGGTTCAACAGACAGGACACAGGAATCCTGAACACTAGTTTCCTCTCAAATACAGCCTCTCCTGAGATACAAGCTGACTACTGCTTTCAAACTTCAGTGCTTTTAATAGCTATCAATCACTATCCCTATTGTGCCAGGTTTAATGAGAAAGGGAAAACATCTTTCCATTTGATCTAAGTGCCAGCCAAAGCTATTTGGTCTGGATTGTATTGTCTTTATATTTAATTTGCTGACAAGTTAGCAACATTGCTTAATGCACTGCTGGAAGGTGCTTGTACTTATGTGTTGGGATACTGTATTGCCCTAATGATCAACAGAACTTTAAGCTTTTAATTTGAAAAATACAAGTCCTGTGTACAAAACACGCAAATCCCTCCCAGCAAGTTTGCATGTATTCACATATATACAAAACATCTCTTAATAAACTTGACATTAACAGTAGATCAGAATTTCAGTACTAGATTAGCATTTCAGAACCACTTTGAAATCTGTTCCCAGGACAGGGTACCAAACAGATGGTGTTTGCATTAGTGGGATATTTTAGCTATAAATCTGCTTTCCTTCACGTCATTCTCAGTTCATGTTTTAAATTTTCTGACTCTTGGATGGCTCTTATTGCCTCCAAGAAAGGAAGAGGCAAGAATTCACACATGCAGGCATAAGAGAGGCAAAATACATAGGTTAATATTGATATTACACAAATCAGAAGGGCAACCAGCCACAGCAGGGGTGCCTGGACCAGCATGCATCCACACTGCCCTGCTGCAAGTTTAGAGCAACTTCTACATCACAGAGCTCATCTGCAGCAAGGTTGTTTGAGATAAGGGAGGCTACATGCATTTGTAAACAAGCAGACAATCACTCATAACTATACACCCTGATGCAGCTGCAATGATCATCCATGGATGCTATCAGTTAGAGAAAACCTTAACTGAGTGTTAGCATCTTACAAGGTACATCTGCACAGTGGCCTGAAAGCCACCGAGGCATGTTAGCTGATGGGCCACATGTAGATGTATTTGTAAAAGTAAGTTGGGTCTCAGATCTGTCACCTTTCCTGCAAGCAGCCCATGCTGGCTTATGAATCAGACAACAGACTAGATTTCTAGGTGCAACATCATTTACAAACCATCATAAGAACATAACAAAATTTTGGACGACACTGTGAGCTTCTCCTCTGCTTGCTATTTCATGGCAGGAGTGATGCGCCTCACTGGACAGTCTGGTTTCTGATGTGAGCCATCTGTCACCACATAGTTTGAACCGGCTTCATCCTCTTTTCAGAATGGGATGCTCAGTTCACACAGCTGCTTCTTCCTTTGGCTACAATATCTACTCCTCAATTACACACTCCCACAATGGTTTAACATTCAGGACAGAGGGATAGATGGAGCCTCTGTTTTACTTCAGGAATCCCTCTTGGTTTTTTTGCTATACGTACTAACCCTCTCTCTGACTCCACATGAACCATTTCTGAAAGCAGCTGGCAGGGACAAGGCACTAGGGTGGAGATGTGAGACCTCTGATGAGCAACAGTTGAGGGTGGGTCTAGATTCAGCAATATTTTTTTCTTTCTCATCCTATAGACATTTGTATCCTTTTTCATCTCTCCTTATCCTTTGCTTCCCTCATTGACATTTAAGTCTTAAGTTTCTTATTTACTCCTCACAGACTCCGTTCACCTGCTTATGTCTCCCAAAGCCCACCAGTCTCACACTCCTGCAGCAGTATCTTTTGAAGATGACCAAAGAGAAGGAAAAAGGGGTAAGACACGCTGAAGAGGGAAGAAGAGACTTTGCTAAAGAGCCAAAGAGCACTTAGGAAGGATAATGGAGGTCAGAGAGGGAGCAGGGAACAACAAACACATGTTGTAATTAGCCTACCCAGGTCATTAACTATGGTTTTCTCCATGACACTCTCCCTTCTTCAGGTCAAGAGGGGTATCTGATGATCTAGAAATGCTTGGGGAACACTAACTGAACTACACTATGCAAGTGGATTTCACCGAGGAAGGTGAGGTAACAAGATTTTGTTTCATCTACAGATAAGCATTTGCCTTCAAGCTCTACATCTTTATTAAAATTAGTCAGATCTCAAACTTTATTTCAATAGCAAGTGATCTGCATTGATGCCAAGTTTTATGCTTTTATTTACAGATAGATTATAGCTCATTTTATAGATTTGCACTTTTTCAGTACTGCAGATAGGTATTAAACATGCCTCAAACAGACACACTCAATGGTATCAAAAAGTCTACAGCAGCCCCACGATGACCGTACTTGCACAGAGCTCTGTTGCCACCTGGAGCCCCATTAAATTAAGTGGGACTCTACAGCAGTGCAGGAACCTGCCCAGGCTGTGCAGAGACAAGGCTGAGTACTACCACCTCAGTCCCATGCAGTTAGGACATGCTAAACGGGTGCTGCTTGACCAGCACCCATGTCACACGCTGTGAGCACAGCCATGGCTCCAGGCTCGTCGGTTCCAGCCATTGGCATTCCCCTGCCCTGCTGCCCCATCAGCTGCAGCACACACTCCTGACACTTGTCCTGGTTTCTTATTGTCCCAGGGCAGCAGGAAGGCAGATGTCACCTGGCTAGCAGCAGAGTTAGTCCAAAATTGACTAAGTCTTACTACCACTAATACCACACACACTTATCACTGCAGAATGGTAAAGGCACATTAAAAAAATACAACAACAACAACAAAAAAAAAACCCCACACAACAGAAAACAAAACACACACATTAAAAACAAAACAAAACAAACAAAAAAAGTTACAGCCAAACCCAAAATCCCCACACACCTTTACAGTAAGCAGCAGGGGTCTGATCCACACATGTACTTGTTTCCCTTTGATTTTAACTAAAAATAATTATCTTTAAAATGACCATAAGCGTGGCCTCAACTCCTACTATCACACATTTTTACAAATGAACACACTGAAACCCTGAATCTGTAATTCTGAATGTTTTAACACAATAGTTTTTACTATTGTTACTATTTATCGTCATGGCCTCACCCTTTTTACAAAGCTTGAGATTTGGTTGGCAACTGTGTTTAACTCCCATTTTATACCAGGTAACTGTAGATTTCGGAGCACAAAGAAGAAATAATGTAACAGTAAGACAGGAGAAAAAAAACACAAATAAAATTAAATGCGAGAGTTAAAAAGTTGTAAATTGGTTTTGGAAAGTCAAGAAAAAATTACTCAAAGCTAAATATTTTATTTACATTTTATGTAATCTTTAATAAAATTAGTCAGATCCTGAACTTCATACGTCATATGTCTTCTTTGTTAACTGAAATTATTTATTTTACTATTATTTTTTAATCATAGTATTTCACTTAGACTATGTTTGGCTGCCTTGACTTATTCTAAAGAGTTCAGGAAATTTTTTATTTTTTAAATCGGCACATACCCTGAAGAATCCATGTGCACTATTACCACTAATTAAAGAAATCTTGAAAAATTTTGACAATATCAAGCCAAGGCTTAAAAATAAATCTGGTCACCACAAGCTAATGTGTCTGCTTAGAAACATATTGTAAACACCTGGGGAAATATTTTACTTTGTGTGGACATTTCCAATATGGTTTAAACACAATGTCCTCTTATAAGTTCAGCAAATTTCAACTTCCAACAGCATGACAAAATCCTTGTCTCATGAGCGGCCTCTTCAAAGCTAGCAGGTTCCCCACAGGATGCTTCTGTTCTCCCACACCCTCCCTTCTGCCAGGGAAGCGAACACCACCCAGATGCAGAGATGCTCAGAGAATAACGCAGCCCCTGGTGAAGATCCCAAGCATCACACTGAGAAAGTGACGCCCTGCAGTGGGTGTAACAGAAAACCAACTCTAAACTACATCCACTTCATCCGACAAACTAATGTATCTTGTGTGTTGCCTTCACCAGCAACAGCACGGATGTTCATGGAAGGCAGACCAGCCCTAGACAGTACTTCAAGTCACCCCTACCACACTGAATTCCCCCCACGGAAGCAAAAGCAGGGGATAAGCAAGCTACTGCATTTTGCAGACTCAAAATACAGTGTTCTTACACAAACAGTACTGTGTCTGAAGGATTATGGTCTGCTTGTGTTGGTGTAATACGCAAGAGCTCTACATTTGGTCAGAACTGTGCTTGTTGCTGTGCAAATGCAGACACGGACAGAGGAAACCCAGCTCATCTGAGGGACCCAAGTATCCAAAAGTGATGTCTGCACCAGAAGCCAAGTCACATTCATTCTAGTGAGACTCTGGCTCCTCAGTTTCTATGTCACTTTAAAGATGGAATGTAAATTACATTGATGATTTGGAAACAAAACTGAACCCCAGTGTCTGGCCAAAATTTACATCTCAAAAACAGAAGAGAAGATGATGAAATTTAGAGCAAAAGGGGAGGGGGGGGAAATAGTCCTTTAAGGGAAGTATTGGAGGCTCCAGTTTTTCAGCCATCTGGAACTAGACTGACCAAAAAAGAAATCATTCCATAACAGAATATAAAAAAGTGGTTTGCACTGATGTAGAATGGATGAGGTGAACTAACAGATTTATCCCATCTCTGTGTTCTAATATTTTGATCCTGCCTTTTATTATCATTTTTCCTTTAAGTAGTTTGCAAGTGATCATGCCAATATCTTAGTTAGTTGATCTCAACAGGATATTCTTTAAAAGATGCATTTAGTCACTTGGGAACACACTAGTGTAATTAGCCTTGACATTTCAACAGTCTGATCATAAACAGTGTGCTCTATGTGCTTTTAAGGCAAAAAGATCTCTGATTCAACAGGGCAAAACATTTGAGATGTGAATTTTGCAGAAAACCGG